TATACATGGGGAAAAGAACTTAGTGAGAGGATGAACAGTTGGAGTTGCTAATCTCTTAATTGGTCCCACACAAAAGAGAAAAAAAAAAAAATCTCTGTAGCTCTTCCAGCACATGGAAGAGTGCTGGGCAGGATGTCTGCATCCTTTGTGCTGAACCTGAGGAGCCAAACCTCTAAATCATTGGGAGAGAAGTGTGGGATTCCTCAATAGCCTGGGGATAGAGGGAAAAGGGGCAGAAAAGGAAGGAATCAGGCAGAGAAAAGGCTTGGACAGGTGGCAGCAGCTGCAACAAGACATTTTTCCTTCCTCAGCATAAAAGCTGGTGCCTGTTATCTCCAAGAGGATGTGATCTTCCTTCACTCCATCTTCCATGCTTTGAAATTGATATTTAGTAACAGTTCTTCCACCAGAGTCTCACTTTCTCTAAGAGCTGGAGGTTTTATTTCTAATTCTCAGGCTGGGGTTGTGAGGATGGGTGTTAGGGGTACCTTGATCATATAGGGCAGGCAGGTGGATGAAACAACCCATGAGCTAAGGGGGAGAACACCAGCCCATTTCCCACCATAAACTCTCTGTGAATTTTGGTATTTCAGCTGCTTGGCCTCCTCTCCCCTGCTGTGCTGAATCAAAGCTTCATAAAGTCCCTGCTCTTCTCAAAATGCAAAAGCAACACTTGTGACAGGCAGAAAATATTACTGCTGGCACTGGCTTGTCAGCTCATCAGCAGAGAACCACGCAACCAAAAATTCTGCACAATACAAATGAAATTATGTTGTCCATCCCCTGGAAGAATAAAATCTGCATTTAGCACTTGAGATCAGCAATAATTGTATGCAATGCCCGAGGGAAGATACGAAAAATCAGAATACAGAAGAAAGAAAATACATGATAAAGCAAACAACACAGTATTGAAGAAAGAAACACATCTGGAAAGTAGTCCAATATACATATGTGTAACACACCAAACCAGAACTGAATCAAAGCAGACCAAAACTTTATATTTTGTACTTTTTGAAGCACTCCAAACCTGTGTTCCTCTAAGGAAGCTGTGATAGGAGAACAGACTGAATTCTAGCTGGACACCTAGAACATCAGTTTACTTAATAAAAAAAATAGAAGCTTTAAAATTACAGAACATCTCCTTGAAATGTTTCCCAAGAAACACCTTTCTGACTTGAAAACATCACTTGGACTTTCCCTCTCTCACAACTTTGTGAAGTTGGGGATGTGCTTACATTCCTTAAGGAATAAAACATAATAATCAACTACATAAAACCTGATGCATGTTTCGTAATAACTGGGGACTTTTTCTAGTTCTGTAGATTGATCTCTATTGCTGCATTCAAGTTCACAGGTCATAACAGTCAGTAGTTAATGAAATCACCAGGTTTATGGCTTGGGTGTTATTAGGACAGAGTTCAAAATGTTGACCCTTTATTAAAAAATGCACCAAGTGTAAAAGCTGGGTTTCACTACCAGCTAAGCAATGGTGAAAATCTACTAAGCAAAATAAGGCAGGCAATACTGACACTTGTGGTCATTTCTAGATTGCTATTTTTCATTCACTTACAAGCATGTCTGGGAGAGCTAAGAAACATGCTGGGATCTCAAAGTAGCCAAGGAAATTCCAAGTAATTGCCAACCCTGTCTCCACTCTAGATGAACTTACTGGAGAAGTATTTTTTTTTAAGAAAAGAGCAGAATGGCTACTGGCCATATACATAATAATTCTCCACGTGGAAAATTAAAACTAAGCATCTATGACACTCTGTATTAATAGATTTCCAGAAGGTAAAAATAAAGCTTAAAAACAAGAGTACTCAACCTTGAAAATGTTGTCATTAATCATTCTGAACCATCACTTGAAAGGTTTTCAACACATTACAGTTGATAGAATACTCCATTTTACTACAATGAAATGAACTTTGCAAAGTATTCATGGAGTATCCAGAAAGTATGGTCCATGTGGGAATAGTGATAGGTCATCTATGGCCTAAGTATTTAAACTCTCAAGGGGCTTGTGCCACCAGACAGAAGTTACCAAGCAGTGCATGCCTGTCTACTGCAATTCCTCCAAATTAGTTTGAGGAATTTCTGCTAATATTGCCAAGACAGAACTCCACTGAATGGCTCAGCCTAAGAATTTATTATAAAACCACTTAGATACAACTCTGCTGACACCTTCTAAAAATGACACGTAGAGAGGTTTTAAAGTTTATTGAAGAAAATATTCCAGAGCACCACAAGTTTGTTTTGCACGGGTACATTTTGCTCAGCTCCAAGCGTCACGAGCACAGGGGGGGTGTTTGTGAGCAGCCCTGTCCTCTCCTCTCCCTCCTGGTGTGCCTGCAGGACTCTGTGGTTCCTGGTCACAGTAACTCCACCTGTTCCTCACACGGGCTGTACATCTTCACTTACTCCTTGGAGCCTTAATAGGTGGCAGCCTTTCAAACACTAACATTGCAGCTTCTAATTTGGGATGTAACCATAGTAACATTACAGCACACACTACTCCCTGCATCGAGAACAAGCAGTCAACTGACCCCTCGTACTGAGATTGCACTGAAACAAAGCTCGTTCCAACCTCTAACCCAGCAAGATTACCAAAACCCGCAGCTCCTATTTCCAGTCCAAAGCAAGACCTGCCCTCCTGCAATACCCACATATGCATAGATAGTATCATAGGAAAGTAGCAAAGAAGAAAGTGCTATAAAAGAAAAGGAAATTCTTCCCAAAACTTTGACTCTAAAGCTAAATCAGTCACTCCCAGACAGAAAGCAGCACAAAAATCAAAGTTTTTTCTTACTTTTCTATAAGATGAGCAAAGAACTGCTCATATTTCTTGGAAAAAGAAAAAAAAAAGAGAGAATGAACGAAATAAATTGGTCATTAATATTTAAGAATTCGATATTCAATTTGTTCACAAGGCAAGATGACAATTTTTTCACATACCAACAGACAACAGCTCTGCCTGAACTTTACAGGCTACACACAAGGGATATGGCCATTTAATTAAAAGCCGAAGCTGATGTCTGTTCCCTTCTAAATTTACTTTAAAAACGATTCTCTTTAGAAAAATAGCCCTTGGGATTTCTGTACCTTTAATATTTACCAATGAGCATTTATAGAAAAATAAAAACAGCTCTTCCCCTTCCAATATAACACATAAACATCCTATCTATAGCTCCCAATCTTTGGGAACCAGGTACATTGAAGTAGTAACAAATAAATTAAATTGAAACAGCACAGATTTTAATAACCATTCTGTTGAGATCTGAACTCATTTCCCAAACTGAAGGTTACATGTCCTGTCTGAAAATTCAAAACTCAGAGACAGAAGTACATGCTTATGTTTGACAAAAGCATTACTTCCCTCTGCCTAAGTCCCCATGGATGTATTGAGCACATGAATAATCTACCTGGTTTCCTACTCATACCCAGAGTGCAGCAATTGGGAGGACTCCTGGCCACACTCTCAGATCATGGTGTGCTTCAGCAACAGACTACACAAAATTCTGGATATTATACACGGCAGGCATAAGAAAGCTTTGTGTGTTTAGGTAGGAAATGCAGTAGTCTGGGTACATATAGAACACCTCAATGCACTGATTCTTAATCATTCATAAAGGTCCCAGATCAGTAAGTGGTGCTGGACACAGGCCCAATTCTCATGCTCCACCCCCACACCGACCCCTCCCCTCTATTTTTTAAACATTGATTTGTTTAGATTGGAGGAGATACAAAGTCTTTACTGATATGCACTTTATATTGATAATTACTATTTAGGAAATATGGTTATGATCCTAAAATGTCCGCAGATAGGATCAAAGGATTTGTGGAAATTGTTATTAGGTTAGGAAATGCATGCATTACAAACAAGACTAAATTAATAGACAAAGTTAGTGTACATAGATGATTTAGTTAGGAGGATCTAAATCTGATTACGTTTCTAATAAATTATCATATTATGCATGTAGAATAATAAAACACACTGACTGCCTGGGGAAGCCTTATTTCCCAGTAAGAGACATGCCTATCCCCAACTGTACAAATCAGACACACCAGGTAAGTCAACAGTTTCTTTACCCTCTGGCTAAATCAAAGTAAAAAAAACCCAAAAAACCCCAAAAAGCTAGTCATTAGGTTTTCAAAACAGAGTGGGCAAACACAGTGACTAATAAATACCTGGGTAAGTAAGCTGCTGGCTCTCTATTTTCTCAGGTATTATGGTATTTTATTTATATAGTAAATATAAAAAGATGCTTCAGCACAGAAGGGTCAGTCACTGAAAGGAGAGAAATGAAAGGAACACAAGTTTCCTTAGGACCAAAAAGACAAATTTTATGACACATGTATGTCCGTACAGACAAAAGACAGTTTAGGTTCATCAATAATTGAAATGAATTGTCCCTGACTTTGCAATGCCAGACCATGGCAGAAAGCTATTAACAGCAGAGAGGCAGTGTAACAGCATGTGCTTATACATCAGTGTTGATCAGCCAAATTGAATAACCTCAGATAACAAAAGGCAGCTTTTGAAGAGTAAGCATGTGTAAAGGAAACATGAGCAAAGAAAGACACTTCTATCTTTTCTCTGGCATGAAGGCACAGACCATTCGTACTCCAAGAGAGCCAAATGGGTTAAATCAAGCTTCAGCATTTAAATGCTTATAATTCCCTTGCACTGCAGAACAGCTTTTGGAATATGGGAATAGAATGTCTAGCATTCAAAATCTCCTAGAGAATCCTAAGTTACAGTGTCAGGGAAAAGTGAAAACAATCTGGAAAAACTCTCAAATTTTCACTTAATGATCATACAATTTTTATACTATTCACCTACCACTGTGCATGAACTGAGTATGTATCATTTATCAAATAAGAGCAAGAGCCTGTAAAGCTTCCTGTCTGCCTTTGGATTTAGTCAAAATGAATGCAAACAATCACGTGGGATTCAGCCAAGCAGTGACGTTAAATTCTGCTCTGTCAGAAGACAGCATCTGTCAAAGCCCACATTTAAACTGCTGCCTGCCTGTGCAGCAGCTGAAGAACTACGGAATGGATTCTATACACCACAATTCTGGGTTAAAACAACTCCAAACCATCGCTATTACTGCCTAGCAACAATGAAGGAAGGAACAGAGGGAGATCCTATGACTGAAGATAACTGAGGCACTAGGCGCCAGCACTGCCTGCTAACATTTCCAGCAGAAATATGGATCCCGAGGAGAGGACAACACAGCCCTGTATTGTCCGAGCTGGGAGACGGCAGATGTGAGAGCCCCAATGCAGCGGCTGTGAGCGCCAGGCAGCCCCGCGCCAGCAGCGAGCACAACTCCTGCTCCTTTTGTCTGCAGCATGAACAAAAAGCCCCGAGACAAGGACGCCGCTTCCAAGCAGGGAAGGTAACACGGCGAGGAGCAGGCAGATGGACAGAGCGGAGCCCGAGCGGGCGCAGGAAGCAGGGCTGGTGGGGGATGTGCGCATGGTCGAGAGCATCTTTTTTGCTGAAGTGATGGCGTGCCCAAACTATTTTCTGTGGGTATAATCCTGCACCATAAATGGCCTGACCAAGGAAGGTATGTCAAACCCTTGTGTGTGATATTCATTCGCTTGTCTGTTATCTTTTCAGCCATTACAGATAATGATCGTGCCTAATTTGCAGAGCCCTGAGATAACACTGTCTCTGAGCAGGGAGAAAGAATTGTAGCAGGTTTTGCTCTCCCCCAGCACAATGTCACTCCCTTACACTGACTAAATGCACTGCTCGCAGTCTGCCAAGGCTGGTGTGGCTGGAGAGGAAGGATTAAAGGGATAATGGAGTTCCTGTAATGATTGCTTTTAACTGAGAAATTAAAAACTCAAATCCTTCCAATACAGAAAAAACAGTTAGAAATCCTCTCAAACTAGGTCAGAATTAATCCTTATCCTTAGTAATCTTAAAGCATGGTAAAATGGCCATAATGTGACATACTGAGAGCACTGAACCATCCAAACAGACCACACAGTCAAAAGGCATTATCTTAAAAGTCCCCTCAGCCCTTTTTACACTTGCTTTTCTGCCCCCCAAACACAAGCAAAATGTCACAAGGGCACTACCAGCCAAGCATAAATCGGGAGCATGTAAAAAACTGGGCATGATTTAAACCATCAGCAGCGCAATCAGGCACCACGATTTACAAGTAACATCAGGCTCCCTGACATCCCAAAAGGAAACCTTCAAACACTACACACTCAAAATGGTAAGCACGTAACTTATCTCCTGCCATCACCGCAATTTCTGCTTAATATGAAAATACTGTTTAACTTGGATTGTAAAATTACATTCCATCTAATTGCCATTCATTCCTATTTTTGTTAAAATTTAAATACTTAATCACTAGTGGCAAAAAAAAGATTAGTATTTGCAATACAAATTTAACACCTAAACCTATAGCAATTCAATACACCACAGAAAGAAAGTGCTTATCTGCAGAATCTACCAATAAGCTACAATAAATCATTAAATGTCAATATAAATGTGCTTTCTTTGCCCAAGGCCATACCAACATGAAATAAAACAACTGCAGCTGAAAGAGTTCACAAACCAAGGGATGCAGCATACATCAGACACCAGTTTCAAATCAGTTTTAAGACATTTAGAATATAAAGTCACTTGACAAAACTTTTAAAACAACAGCAAAAAATGTACCTTCAGGCAACACTCCAGGAGAAGCACACCTGGCTAATGTAAGACATTGGTATCAGGCATTTAAAAACCTGCACATCAAACCTTATCCCAAACACTGTTTTGTGCAAAAGATTAATGGAGTTCATAAGGGAAGTCAGGCACATTAAATGAGGCCCAATATGCAACTGCTGTTCATCAGAATATAGACTCTGGCTGCCTTTTGAACTCTTCCCTCTAATTTAAGAGTTTGCCCACAGAGCTAATCAAAATATGAAAATCCAAGACAAGTGAATAGGAAGTCAAATGCTTCAATTTTCAAAGCTGTAATTATAGAGCAGAACTGCAAGTACCAGGAACCAAAACACCAGCAGAGCACAGACCACAAATAAAAATTCAAGAGGCATTCACAGTTTATGTATTTGGCATTTGATAATGCATCAGTGACTGCACTGCCAGGTGCCAAAAATGAAGCAGCAGTATCACAAATAATATCTCCAAAAAGCAGTTACATGCAACAACACACTCTCAGAGGACAAGCTGAGTGTTCTAGAGACCCTCTGCTGTAGTTAGGTTTTCTTATCTACTGTCAATAGTTGGTGCCTATTCATAACCTTTCTGTGAAACAGATTTTTAAGTATTTGGGCAAAAAAAGAAATGCTCTAACCCTAATTAAGTGAGAGAAAATAGTATTTTTATTATACAATTTGATGGTGGGTTTAATATCTAGTGACAGTTTTTAACATTCTTTTTAAACAATGCACCCTAGCATGTAGTATTTTTTTCCAAAGGTGCAATTGTTGTTGCTGTATTTTCCATGCTTAATACCCCACTGTATATTTTGAAATGTTTTACACACAACTGCAAAGAAAATGAGCCCACATTATTTGGGTTTTTTCAGTCAATAGCTCTCTGACGCTGAAATATAGATGTGGGTGCTTCCCCTATTCATAAAATGCCTTTTTAAAGGGCAAACAGAGACAGATTTTCTACGACACGCCTACCTTGAAAAATCAAGGAAACATGTAAAAATATCAAGGAAATATGACTCTCTTAAAATGTCTTCTGATTCTAGTTCTGTCCCTCAGTGTAAAACTTATTTTCATAGGCATTATGTAAGCATGTAGCCTAATAAAAAAAAAAGGTTTCAGCCATTGCAACTGCCTTTGCTGGGACACTTCCTCACTGCATCAGGGAAACACAGCACCTGCAAACCGTTTTCAATGTACACAAATATTTATGTACCTTAAGATTATCACTTTTGTCTACTGCCTTATCGAAGTAGGTCCTCATCAAAACACTGTCTCAGTTAAAGATGAAACAAAGATCAGTAGTGCAGTGCACTTTTCCTTAAGTATTTCCACCTAATGACTGTAGTTTTGTAAGTGGAACAATTCACTGTGACAAAATTAATCTTAGTTCTAGCTGCTACTCCACATTCATGAAATTCTGGCTTTGCTTTTCTTCCTAAACTGTGGACACATGCAATGGAGCAATAATTAATCAAACATCCTCACTGCTGCCCTCCAATCTGTTATCAATTAACTTCCCTGAGATCTAGGCTATCCTTTGAAGAGACATTTATGTTCGCTTATACAGAGATATTCCCGAATAGCTGAGCGTTCATTTACAACTTACTGCGCACTGCAGACAAACTAAAAATTACGAGTTTTGAGGGGAAGCTTCTGTTTTTCCAGCAGGGAAAAGCAGGTGCAAATGGTCACATAAACACGAGTCCCGCGCATTTGAGGCTTATCTTCTTTTACACAAGGACAATACTGGAGTTCAAGCAGCACAAGCATGGAGAGCGTCAGGTTAATTCCTGAACCACACAGGTTAGACACAAGGGTTTATGATTTTTACAGAGACAGCAGACTCTCCGGGAAGTGGCATCAGCTCTGAACAGTTAAAATACGAAAACCAGAGGTACTTTCAAGACCCAGAAAACCAAACGCACGGAAGCAGCCGAAGTGCTTTGGGCCTCTCGGGTGTTTTCGGGCCGGGCTCGGGCGTTCCCGGGGAATCGCCGTGCGCGCGCCCCTCTCGCGTCACACTCGCCGCGCAGCGGCGCCCCCTGGCGGGGGTCGCTGAGGCGGCCGTGAGGCAGCTCCCGCTCGCTGCGGAGCGTGTTTGTAAAAATAGCGGCAGTGAGTAAAATAAACATCACTTATACCCCTCTCCTCACCCTTCCGATGTACAAATATTCCCATTCGTGAACAGGGCAGACTGAATGTCGCATCACACACGTACAACTTAATACCCTATTACTCGATTGACTTCTCATCTTAAATTACTCCCTTACAACGTTAAACCCTGTAATTTCCCATGTAACTTATCACTAAGTTTTTAAATGCACAAATTAATCCAAATATTGGTTTAAGAAGATAGCGAAGCAATTAATAAATTACATATTTCTATTAGAAACAGCATTTTCTATGGAGTCTTGTTCAACTGTCATCCTTTTTCCTATACAAAACCCTAGGGCCCAGGAATAAATTAGAGCAAATTGAAAATCACAAACGAATTGCTATTGTACAGTGAAGGCTCATTTACAAGATGATGTGATCAGCTTTTAATATGCAGCATCATGAAGCTGCCATATTGACTCTGCTCCTGAATATGAACAAAAATTTAAGAGAAAATGAAGCACAGACTACTTTGGCACTTTTTCCTACAGCTGCTGGTCAGAATATTTGAAATTTCCAACTGCTATGTACAGTAGTTACATACACTATTACAGAGGGAAAAAAACCCAACCCAGTATCATGATCATCAGATAGTTGGCCAGAAACTTAGTCCTGAGCAATTTTATTTCCAGTTAACATGATCACTACCCAAGATCTCTGTCTACTGAAAATCAAGAGCTTAATTTCAATTCAGCTGCCTCTGAGGCTGGCACCACAGCCCAGTGTTCCATGCAATGCTTTCCTCCGGTGCGGAGTAGAAGGTGAAAGGTGCCTGAAAGGTGACCAGGAATGTTATCCTGCACCGGCATCTGAGGGCTCTGCAGTGAGGCTACTGGACCCTGAAAATTAATTTTGACAGGTGCATCTTCTCATTGACTTTCCTTGCACAGTGGGGGCCAGTGGAGACGCGCCAGGCAGTGTCCTGTGACTAACACAGCTCTGCCATCGCCAACCCTGCGCCGTCTGTCCCAACACCAGGCATGGTCGTTTGCAGAAAGGGCTTTAAAACTGTGAGCCATCCTAGCCTCTGCACGTCAAATCAATTTTAATTAATGCCATTAAACCTTCCATCTGCCAGCAAGGCTTTTTCATTCAGTCCTTCTCAAACACTCTACAAGGATTTCACAGCCATGGATATGAAGCTATTTACATCTACTTCACACTTTTTCCTGCTAACATGATCCTTTTTTTTTTTTTCCTCTTTATCTTTGGTATCCACGATGCTTGTCAAAACTTTTACCAGGCAAAAAAAAGCCTTTTTAAAAGCTAACAAATCAGGTTAAATCATAAAACAAGGTTGGCTTTTAGCATAAGTCAAATTTTGTTCCCATTGACATGGGCTGTTCTTTGAAAAAGCAAACTTAATTTTATATCTAGTTTCTATTTGTAACTGTTTATAAGTGTGCAAAATGAAAGGTTTCTGATTTTTTTTTTAATTCTTTGCAGAGTGAGCCATTTGCAGACAATTACTCAACTCAAAGGAAAATGAATACCAAAGAATAGCAGTGGATTCTAAACCAATTGGAAAAGCCTTTTCCTTGAGCATTGTCTCATATCCCATTACTGGATCTTTACAACATGCTTCAGTGGAGAAGACGACACTGCTGCTTGGCAAAGATGACCTGGAATAGCAAAAGGTCTCTGTTTCGCACCCATCTCATCGGCCTGCTCTCTCTGGTGTTTCTTTTTGCCGTGTTTCTGTTCTTTAATCATCACGACTGGCTGCCAGGCAAGGCTGGATTCAGAGAAAACCCCATGTCTTACACCATACGAGGATTTAGATCTACAAAAAGCGAGAGCAACCACAGCTCTCTAAGGAGCATGTGGAGAGATGCTGTGCCTCAGACACTCAGGCCTCAGACAGTCACCAACCCTAACAACACAGATCTGTCCCCACAGGGAGTCACCGGTTTGGAAAACACCCTCAGTGCCAACGGAAGTATTTACAACGAGAAAGGCACTGGGCATCCAACTTCCTATCATTTCAAATACGTCATCAATGAGCCTGACAAGTGCCAGGAAAAGACCCCTTTTCTAATACTGCTCATAGCTGCAGAGCCAGGCCAGGTGGAGGCCAGACAAGCAATTCGACAGACCTGGGGCAACGAGAGCCTGACACCTGGCATCCAAATTGTACGGATTTTTTTGTTGGGCTTAAGCACCAAGGTAAACGGATACCTCCAGCGAACCATCCTTGAGGAAAGCAGACAGTACCACGACATCATTCAACAAGAATACTTAGACACCTACTATAACTTAACTATAAAAACACTGATGGGAATGAACTGGGTTGCAACCTACTGTCCACATGTTCCATATGTTATGAAAACTGATAGTGATATGTTTGTCAATACCGAATATTTAATACACAAGCTTCTGAAACCAGAACTTCCTCCCAGGCACAAGTATTTTACAGGTTATTTAATGAGAGGTTATGCACCTAATAGAAACAAGGATAGCAAGTGGTATATGCCACCTGATTTGTATCCAAGTGAACGTTATCCTGTATTCTGCTCTGGAACTGGTTATGTTTTTTCTGGAGACTTGGCAGAAAAAATCTTTAAGGTCTCCTTAAGCATCAGACGTTTACATTTAGAGGATGTGTACGTGGGGATCTGTCTCGCCAAGCTGCGGATTGACCCCATGCCCCCACCCAACGAGTTTGTCTTCAATCACTGGCGAGTTTCTTACTCCAGCTGTAAATACAGCCACCTAATTACCTCCCATCAGTTCCAACCTAGCGAGCTGATCAAATACTGGAACCACTTACAGCAGAACAAGCACAACGCCTGCGCCAACGCGGCCAAGGACAAGGCCGGCAGGTACCGCCACCGCAGACTGCACTGAGGGCGCCGCGCGGCTCCTGTAAATAAACAGCGCTGAACGCAGCCACAGCGACACGGAGCAGCCCCGGGCACAGCCCGCACACAGCCCAGCACACGGGACAGGCGGGAAATTATTTTTTTAAGTTAAAAAAAAATATATCGTTCTCGAATATGATCAAATTATATAAACCAAAAGGTTTTTCCCAGAGAATTGGAGATGTAAAAAAAAAAAAAAAAAAAAAGGAAAAAAAAAAGGATGGTATATTAAGATTTCTGTGTTAACATGCAATAATAAGCATGCACACTTTGGTGGTACAATTGCTGATTCATGTGCCAGTAAAATATAATTGAGCATATTTTCCACACTAAAATTTTTATTTTAAGGAGTGCATTCATAGCTCTAGCTCTCTTCCATGTAATTTCTTATTACCCAGAACTGCTATAGAATGCAAAATTAAAAACTAAGGAAATGCAGAAAGGGCAGATCAGTATTATCTTCAAATGCCACATGACAATTATTATACACTACTTTAATGTACCACACATTTAGCAATGTCACAATTTAGTAAGACACTACCAATAAATTCTAAAGCACCAAGAATGTACTCCCTCCAAGTAGGTCCAGTTTTCATAAGTTTGCTTATTTGGTTTGGAAGGAGAGATAAATGAAATCAAAGTTGCAAAGCTGCTTTGCACATTACCTTCAGAAATGCAAGTGGTGTTCTGGATGCAACTTTCAGTTCACAAAGAGCTGACTGAAAGTTACTTCGTTGTCTAGAAGTCACAGGGCAAGCTCCTAAGATCTGGTGCCAAGTAAGATTAATTCCACTTGGAACCTTCATGCAAATTCATTGGATCTGTTATTAATTTCCCCTGCAAGGTAACTCAAAGGCTGATGAGAAATGCAAAACTTAAGTTCCAGTCCTGCACTGTTTTTGACAAAATTTCATTTTGTGCAAAGCGGGGGAAAACTAATCAAACGTGTAGTTTTGTTCTTTCCTGTCTGACAAAAAGCAAGGGTCAGCCAAGTGGAAAGACATCTGCTTGAGAAAATGAAGCCCCACACCCGAGTTTATAGGTGGGAAAGACTAGGTTACAAAAGATTGAGAGTTCCAGCCAGCAATATGACCAGGAACAAAATTCAAGCAATTTAAAGTCACAACACATACCACTGAAAATAAATTGTGAGAAGTAGGCTAAATCTATTTACAGGTTTGCAGTTTTCTAACAAACAGAACTTTTAAAGCTTATTTTCCAACTGTTACAGCAGAGTTATATCAGATTCAGGTTATTACTGCTTGTCACAGTGCCAGGGTACACAATACCCACCTCTGATCATCAGCAAATGATCAAACTGCAATTAGTTTTCTGTTTGACTGGGACTTATTAATTGGATAAAATACAAATATTTGATGTACTTTTATTATTTAATAAAATTGATTATATTTATGGTCTTAAGATTTCACTTTTTCTGGGAAAGCTGCTCAGGAAGAAAGAAATGTCTAGCTTTAGCAATACTAGGTTTTTGTAGTGTTCATGCACTGGGTTTTCATGCACAGTACAGAGATCACAGCAGGATTTTCTCCTCTGTACTGAGAAGACAAATCATATTACTGACCATTCTCAGCAGCTCTCGGGCTGGCTGTCTGCAGGAACTCTCACATGTGAACACACTGCAAGGCACTGGATGTACCTCTGAAGCAATTCCAGCAGGTCCTCTGGAAGGTGGAGGTGGGAATTTGCTCAACACCTTTTTTTTAGTGACTTTACACTAAATTTTCTCCTCTGCTGTATTTGAGGTGCGCTAATTGTATCAAATGATATAAACTGTATCAAATCATAGAAATGTCTGGTGCTGGGGAAAGCAAACACCTGTAAAAGTAATAACACTCTTCTGCAGAGATTTCTCCAACTAAATTGAAACTTCATACACTCAGTTTACATGATGCCTGTTGGCATTCATGTGGGAGAGCTGCCCTGGACAGATGTTTTGGGAGTGTGCTTTCAGCACCCATTGCAGTTTTCCCCCCTCTGTGTGCTGCTTGCTCCCAGCTAACTAACACAGGCCCCAGCTGGCATGCAGCTGAAAGGCACCTGGCTGGAGGTCACTGCAGGCAGGCCCTACACCACAGTGTAGCTCCAGAACTCCAGAGCGAGTGTGGGAAGCCAGCTACTACTGCAGGGACTGAATTTTGGAAGATATGCAATGCCATAAGTGGCCTCTCCACAAGCAGTGCTGGCCAAGGACACAATCCAGCCTCCTGGAGAGGACTTCAGTGCTGCTCCCAGCCCTTGGCACTTTCCAGCTCCACTGTGATATACTCGATTTTACCAACTCTGGCTAGTCCTAAATGCTGTTCCTGGCTCCTGGGTGTAGTCCAAGAGGTTAATACTAAACCTTAAATAGTTTGGCACTGGAATCATCAAGTTTGGCAGCCAAACCACCTCTTGGGTGCTGGGCTTTGGAGCTCCTGCACGATGCTGATCTGCCCGAGCCTGGCAGAAGCATGGCACACTGCCCACGAGTTCAGCATACCAAACCTCCTACTACTTACAGGACTAGTGAGGAGCACCAGAATGCTAAATAAAAAGCCATTCTTAATGCCCTTTTAAAGGTCCAGCATGATTTTTAAAATTTGTATTAATGTTTGGGTGTAAGTTATAAACATTCTTGAATCCTTATCAAGATGGTCAAAGGCTACTAAAAACATTTGCATCCAAGTACTGTTTTCTTGCACAGTTTGTTGCAAAGCTTTCAGAAACAAAAGGGAATCATTTTGTATGATGAAATATGCAATTACAGAATGAACGCTCTACATTCTTTTCTCTGAATGTTTTACTGTTTTCTAGCTTGTGTTTAAGCTATTTGCTCACTCTACTAGAATATAAAAAACAGTTCATGTTAAAAATAGTGCAATAGTTAATTATATCATTAAAAGCTTGGACAAGTTCTCTCACTTCCTTTCCCCATACAGCACGAAAAAAATGCATTTTTCATTAGCAATAGCATACAAACTTGTAGCTAAAACTAACATGTCTGCAATGCAGTAAAAAAAAAAGATATAATTATTCATTGAATATAGAAGTACAAGAGTTTTTATAATACTTGCTTTAAATGTTTTCTCTGTATGTCTGCCTCAGGTTGAAAACAAATATAAAAAGTCAAAATGGCTCAAAAGTTATGACGGGAGAAAAAAATTGCGACATCATCAATCAATTATTATGGCAAAGAAAAATCTTAGAAAAGCTGGTCTGGTAACAAAAATCAAAAAATGGAATTCCATCATTTCCCCATATTTATTGAACTTTCAGTTTAATAAAGATTCACACATTGATATTATAGGACCAAAATGAAGTCCCACCAAAAAGAAGTTGTTATTGAACAACAGAACTGCTCTTTTCACATCTCCAGTTAAATCTGTGCTTTGAGATATTTGCACATCCCACACCAATAAAATTAAGAATGCAAAATGCACAACTAAAGCTTTTGGTGTAGTGGAACTGATCCCATCCCCAGTCACTGAAAGATCTTTCATGAGTAAATTTAGCAATCTGTTCTAAATTTTAAAAATTACATGTCAAGGTACTTCCAAGCATCAGTGGTTGTTCTGAGAGAAAATTCAGTGCCCACTATGATCTTCACTTAAATTTATAAACTTAAATTATGGGATGGCAGTGATCTAGAAGAGATGAGACAGACTGCTTTTCAGGTTAACCTTACTAGAACAGCAATTTAGAATCTGCTTTTCCTTGCAGTGCAGTAATATAAAACGTGTCAGTCCTCATTTACAAAATATTTTCAGAATATATCAACATGTTAAGACATGCATTAACTGTCTGCAAGCCCAGGCTAAATCAGGCACTGGAGGGGAGGGAAGCACCTAAAGGCCATTACTTTAGACAGCCTCCTTCTTCCCACTTATTTTCCTGATATGTTAACACAGTCCGTAATCACACGTCAATCTAAAATACCAACACATAATCCCACAGGGCAAGAAAACCTTTTCTCTTGAATGAATGCTCATTGCAATGCGTGGAAATGTCCTAGGAGGAAATGAAAGGGAGAGGGAAGATGCTAATATAGAAGCTACTACTTCTTCCATTTGTGCTTTTGGGAAGAACAGGCTTGCAACTGATTTGCAAACACATCACTTGTTGTTGCCATATTTTCCCAATTTTAGATGCTATTTCTCAAGTCCTCTTTTGCTGTTGAATAGCACAAATAAGAAAAGACTGGCCAATCACTCAGTTACACTGTGAGAACTGCACCTCTCAATGAAGAGCATTATTGTCCTTTTCATTTCAGATTGTCCTTCCAAGGCAGGATGTGACTCGGGGCACAGTATCCCCCCCTTGCTGAGCACATGTACTGGACGTGGCACTGGCTGTTATTCCCACAGATCCCATCTCCAGCCCATCCAGCACTGCCTCCCAAGCCCAGCCACTCCATGGGCAGCCCAGGGGAAGGAGGGAGGCAGGGAAGCTGCACCGCCTGAAATGCTGCACTGTGCAAATGTAGGTCAGCAAGGACAGAACGTGGGCTCTGCTTTGTACTGAAGGCAAAGGCTTTCCGGGCAGGAGGCTGGGGGAGGGCTCTGGAAACAGCTTCTTGCAGCAAGTCAGTGAAAAAGTAGCTTGAATGTCAGAAAACAGAAGAGTGAAACTAAAAATGCACGGCTGATCAACACCACACAGGTTGGAAATGCAGGGCAGGGAAAAGCGTTACAAAAGCGAGGCCAAATGAGAAAGCAGGACCCGGAATTCTAGTCACAAGTGTTCACACTTCTGCACTTAGAGAAAATAGGAACCCATTAGGCAAATCCATTCTTCTAACAAAATTTTTAGTTTGCGACTGAAGTGGATGTGTTTTATTAAGGCCTGAATCAAATTCCAAGCCATGATACACGATCAGTAGCTCCACAGAAAGTACTTGACACATCGTACACAAGCAAACCAAGAGCAAAGCAAATTAGATCACTTGTGCCTAGGATTTGTGTTTCATCTTCACACGAAGAGTTAATTTCAGCCTTCATTTGTTCCAGCTCAAAAGAAACAGAGTCTGGTTAATATGGTAC